CTTTTCCTAATAGAGACATTTAAGACAGCTGTTTACAGGGGCTGGTCTGATCCGGTTACACTGGATTTGTGTCTGTCCGGGTCGTATGTATTTGGCACCTTGTACAAAACCCAAAGTGCAGCTCCTTGACTCAGCAGACGATGTGCTGTAATTACCGTGGAGATGAGGTTAGTACTCAGTTATTAAAATAGATGGTACACCAGAGGGAGAGGGGTAATTTGATAACACAGGAACACTGCCAACGGGTGTGAACAGGGCAGAACAACAACTAGATCAGGGCCAGCCAATGACATAAAACTTAGAAGCAACACACACATATCATACCCATAATTAAAACCAATGAAAGACGTTTAAAAAGGGACAAAGAAAAAAAAAGATTATATCTGTTGTACTGTGAGGTCACTTACATTTATGCTTCAAATTGCAGCAGATATAGTTCCAGTACGTTGCATGATTGAACACCTAAATCCCATTACTATTTACAGAAACAAAACAATTACAGTGTCAAACATGAGCCATGACTTGGATGTCTTTTCCCAAGGCATGCCGCCTCCTGTCCAACCCATAGCTGGCATCAGAAGCTAGGGCTGCTTATTGCAAACAACTTGAGAACAAAAGCAGGTGGCACGTTACACCCCTAAATGTTATTACAACTGTATTTAAATGCTGAATCATTTCAAAGTTGAATGTAATCTAATTTAAAAAAAATCTAGACATGCTGCCTTTTCCTTCAGAGTTTACAGTGTCCTGGAATTGCGACCACATCTAGGGAGATAAGCGTGTTATACACAAACCAGTATGCACTTGAAGTAACTACACACATATCTAAAGCAACTGAAGGATGTTTCAGACACTATAGAGAACATACACACCATGGACTGACCTCATCTTTACAGCATGTGTAGGCAGGAAGGACTTAGATACTTACACCACACCTCGTAGTAATAGCTGCAACACTGAGATTCTCCACAGCAGTGGCCCGAATCACAGAAGTAGCTCTGGTTGTTCACTCCTACACAAGGCAGCCGGCTCTGCAAAACCAAACAGAAAATATAAGCATATTATCATCAGCACAGATCCATGCACCAAAGGCTTGTTTATGGCAAAAAACTAAAATTAAATTTAATTAAAAATAATACAATTAAATTACATTTCAATGAAATATATAGCCAAAAGAATAAGTACAGAATATATAAAGTAAATAAATGACCCCAACACAGTGACACTTTCTTTAAATACAGGTGATAATAAAAAGCACATTAATACAATTGACAGGCAGATCGCTATGCAAATCTTTGAGTGAGCAGACTGTTATACTGAATGCATGTCTAACTACGTTTGCTAATTAAAATAATAATGCTGATTCCTCTGCTCTCGTTTTACCTGTCTAAACCCCAGGAGAAAAGGCATGATAGGCGTCTGATCGGAAAATTAACACAGCAGACAGAGTTTTGTTACACACAGGGCTGCAAAGACCAAGGGAGAGACAGAAGAGGAAGGTCGGGCTCGGGCCACCCACCACCCACACATGGTACAGTGCGACATGAACTGCCCCCTTTATTAGCCAGAAGGGCTCAATTTAAACACACACACATACATACACAGCCTCCCTCACGGCATTTTAGACTCAGCGAGGGCTGCCAGGGAATGCAAGTACACAGGATGAACTGACAAGCGGTCTGTGCTTCAGACATCGATGACAACTGCTGGCCTGACAGTTGTCTCGAGTGTTGTGCTAGATACAAAGGACAGTGCAACTGAAATCTTGCCTGTTGAACAATAGTTTTAATATGACAGTAAAAATGCCATCTCGATTGACTCTTTAGACATGATGATCAGTGATATCAAGCACTAGAAAGCAAAAGTTTGAGTGTTCAGTGCTGCAAACCTGTGCAGGGTTGGACATAGTGCCAAGAAGTTCATAGAAGGAATGGCAACTGGCAGCAAACAGCTGAGTTAAAGGTTAATTAGTTAATTATTACACATTCCTTATAATGTGCAACAGTAGGGTTCCAGAAGACAAAAACACCATTCATTTTCTAAATAAAAAATACAGTTTTAGTGATAATTTAAGAAGCATTCAAAATGAATCAACCAGGTGTTCCAATGTTAAGTGAAGTTATATCAGACACTTTTTAATTTACGTCTACTAAACATATACATTTATCAGTTCATGCATTTCCTGGGAATTGAATCTGTAACCTTGGTGTTGGAAGCACCAATGCTCTACTCCACACATATGTTTGAGATATGAGCTTGACCAGGGTAATCCACACATTTATGCTATTTATAGAGCTTGTTTTAAATAGGGTTGCAAAGGGGTGGAAAATTTCCGGAAACTTGCCAAAAATCCCTGGAATATTCCAAAAAAATCCTGGAAAGTTTCCAAAATTTCTGGAATGTTTCCGAAATTTACTGGAAATTTTCCACCTTTTTGCAACCCTAGTTTTAAACATTTAATAGCAATTCACCCCAAAATGAATAAATTTCATTTATTCACCCTCATGTCATTTCAAACCTCTATGACTTTTTATTCTTCTGCTGAACATAGAAGATGTTGGCAACAAAAAAAAACCCACACTGAGACATTTCTCAAGATATTTTTTGTGTTTCACAGAAGAAAGAAAGACAGATTTAGAATGACATGAGGGTGGATAAATGATGGCAGAATTTTCATTTTTGGGTACACAGTGTTTCGCCTTCGTCTGTTATCTCCTAATTTATAGTATAATCTTTACCCTTTTTTTTTTAAATGTAAGGCAAGGCAAGTTTATTTATATAGCACATTTCGTACACAATGGTAATTCAAAGTGCTTTACATAAAAGAAAGTAAAATAATCATAAAAAAAAAAAAAAAAAATCACAAAAATAAAACAAGGAATTTTGTTCTTTCTCATTATTTGACTTAGTGGGAGCATATACAGGCTAAACAAGAGCGGTGCAAGAATTGAGCCTTGTGGGACTCCGCATGTCATGGACGTCCACTTAGACTTATGCTCTCCTATACTCACATAATAACCTCTCCCTTTTAAGTATGACCTGAACCATTGGTGTATGAAAATGAATGTAGAAAATGAATGGGAAAAACTTTTGTGGAACCAAGCCAATGAAAATGTGGGTGATGACTGTTGCACTCTACTGTGCATGTTATTTCACAATAAAATCAAAAAGGTTTTATAAACTTTCATAAAATAAAATGTGTAAAATGCATGAGTTGCAAGATAATTTCTCTTTTAAAGTTGGATGCAGCTGAATCTATGTTGGAAGTTGATATGTACACTATAATTAATTAATTTTCAGCATGGACACATTAAACTGATCAAAAGTGACAGTAAAAATATTCAGCAAATTACAAAAGATTTCTATTTACGTCTATTAATAAGAGAAGAATTCTGAGAAAAAAGAAATCGTACAGATTTCTCAAATTTTGAACAGCAGTGTGTCATTTAAAATGAGGCTCATGTGCAAAAAAAGGTTGTTGCAGAGCTTTTCTTTATCCTACTCGAATTCTTCTCTCATCAAAAGTCCTGTTTGCCTTCAGAAATGTCGCTTTATTGAAGTAAAAGTTGCAAAAGCCATTCCACAGGCACAAAGCATGTGGTTTTTGTAATGTTAGCAGATAGGAGATCAGCTTATCTTTTAGGCACCTACATTCCCTCAGAGATAACACCTGTGGAGAGCAAACATCTCACTCCCTGCTTTTTTCATTCACTGACCTTGATCTACCACCTGTCACAACAGAGAGAAGAGCATCTTCATACGTACACGCCTATCACAGTCAAGGCCAGAATAAAAGCACACAGTAAAAACAGCCTTGTGAAATGTTTTAAATATGTGCTTTTTCTAGCCAGCTAATATTAAAGTGTCAATCACAGTCAACTGTACAGTTCGAACTGTCATTAAACAATTACACTGCAGAACGATCACAACCTTAATACCAATAAAACCTTGCGCTGGCTGAAAAATCCTATTGTACATCCTTACTTTAGTGGCAGCAGTAATAACAGACAGTCTTTTTTAATTATTTACTCATCAGAAAGGAAAACATTAGGGACGAGACATTTGGCTGTGTATTTACATGTAATCTCAGCAAGACTGAAATGGAACAAACTGTCCCTAGAACTGTATTCTGTTTACAGATTCACATTGCAGGAAGTTTTTGAATTATTCTAAATAGGAACCTAAATGTAGCAAAATGCTGGTATATAGTAGTTAAAGAAATAATTAATTTAGAGTGGGTCGACTTAATACATTTATAACGTTATCTAGATTTTTTTTTTTACGAGATTTAATTTAACAGCAGACTAATTTACACTTAAAAATCATGATGCCTAAGGACGTGACACTGTTAGTCCATATATCATTGATAAGTGAATATTCCTGTATATTCCTGTAGATTTATTTAGGCTGACAACTTTAAAAGCCATATTATGGACATAACTAAAACTGTTCAGATCAGCACTCTAGGTTGCTGTCACCCGAACTAAAACAGTGAAATGTTTTAAATATGTGCTTTTTCTAGCCAGCTAATATTAAAGTGTCAATCACAGTCAACTGTACAGTTCGAACTGTCATTAAACAATTACACTGCAGAACGATCACAACCTTAATACCAATAAAACCTTGCGCTGGCTGAAAAATCCTATTGTACATCCTTACTTTAGTGGCAGCAGTAATAACAGACAGTCTTTTTTAATTATTTACTCATCAGAAAGGAAAACATTAGGGACGAGACATTTGGCTGTGTATTTACATGTAATCTCAGCAAGACTGAAATGGAACAAACTGTCCCTAGAACTGTATTCTGTTTACAGATTCACATTGCAGGAAGTTTTTGAATTATTCTAAATAGGAACCTAAATGTAGCAAAATGCTGGTATATAGTAGTTAAAGAAATAATTAATTTAGAGTGGGTCGACTTAATACATTTATAACGTTATCTAGATTTTTTTTTTACGAGATTTAATTTAACAGCAGACTAATTTACACTTAAAAATCATGATGCCTAAGGACGTGACACTGTTAGTCCATATATCATTGATAAGTGAATATTCCTGTAGATTTATTTAGGCTGATAACTTTAAAAGCCATATTATGGACATAACTAAAACTGTTCAGATCAGCACTCTAGGTTGTTGTCACCCGAGTTTACTAAAACAGACTCATTTTGTTTAGAAGTGGACGATAAATCTCACTTACGAGCCTTGTAAAATATGTTTGTGGCATGTCAGACTTAAAAGTCTAAGTAAACTTTGTTGTCACTGCTGTGAACGCAAACGCACAGGCTGTGCTTCAAAACCTAATGAGTTGACTAAGTAGACAGCATTCTGAGCACAACGTTTAAACGCACCTAAGGTGCCTCAAAATGCTGTCTAAGTGGGCAGCTCACTCGGTTTTGAGACGCAGCCCCAGTCTACCGGCTAGGCTAATGATGCTAACAGGGTTTTTACCTCGGTCAGCGCTGCCTCCACTGTCACCGAACCGATCGGTCCAATAACCGCGTTACTTACAAACAACCCCATTCCCAGTTTTATATATCCAAGCCCCCACATTCCGTCCTTTCCCGTGGCTTTCGACACATCTGCGACACGGTAGGGCATTCAGCTAGCCTGCGAGCTAGCTTCAGCTACGTCTCTTTCTTCTTTCTTTCAACTCTCTCACAAACTCAGAAAGTCTCCACAAGCCCAACCCCCTGCTGCTATTGGTCCGTTCAAGCGAACACTTCCTGGTTTGACAAATAAACGTAGGCACGATTGGATGATTTATCTGTCGTTTAAACACAACTAAAGCGACGGCAGGGCGTGACTTTTTTGTTCTTTACCCGCTGAGATCAAGAAATCAGCTGACAATGAATTTAAAGGGGCAGGAAATGACACATTTCCCTATGCAAAAATAAAGTAAGCCAAAGCAAGAAAGAATGCTATAGACAGACAGACAGACAGATAGATAGACAGATAGATAGATAGATAGATCACACACACACATCACATTTCCCATGTACAGTGGAGATCAAAATTAGAGAACAATATATAAATGCTTGATTTTTTTTCTGAAATGTTGTTGATCTTCAGTGCTCAAAATTTGAAGGAATATTAGCTGTAGGTATACCACTGCTGTACTAACATGTTTGACAAAATAACCAAGGCATTTCCACAAAAACCTTTATTTTGTGGAAAACACAGTGATCAAAATTAGAGAACAGCAACCACTGTAGCACGAAATTTTGGAGGGTTACGGCTGTCATAAATTAGTAGTAATTGTAAAGGCCCCTGCTTTGAGTGACTTTAGCACATCTGCGGCCACACAGGACATCACTAGTTTCTCACACTGCTCTGGTGTGATCTTGGTCCACTCTTCTTCCACAGTTCTGTAACTTTAGTGGGTTTCTTAGCTATAACTTTGAGATTTTCAGTAAAGCTTATATCAGGACTCTGGCCTGACCATTTCATTATTTCAATGTTCTCAGCTTCAAGAAACTGCTTTACCCATTTTGCAGTGTGACAGGAACATTGTTTTACATTAAAATTGCAAGCCGATTGAGAGATGCTTGCAGGGAAGGTACCGCATGTTGTTGAAGGAGGTTCTGATAAATATTTGCATTCAGCCTGCCATGTAGCTGTGTAAGAGACCCAACTCCTGCAGCACAAAACATCCCCCAAACCATAACACTTCCTCCTCCACCTTTTACTGACTTCTTTACGCACTTGGGCTTCAGTCTTTCCCCAGTTTGATGATAAAAACAGAATGTTTCCCATCAGACCCAAAATAAATTGAACTTGCTCTCATCATTAAAGTGAACTTTGGACCAGTTGTCCTCTGTCCACACAACATCCTCAGCAAAGGTGAGCCTATTGATTCTTTCTGCTGATGAGAGGCTTCATCTCTGCAGAGTGCGCTTTCAGTCGGACTTCTCTTAAACATGCCGAGACAGATCCTTACCCTGTTCAGCACTGAACTGGCAAGCAATTCCAGCTGTGGTGTTGAATCAATTCCCCATTGAGAGTCTCCGCATTATCCTGTCTTCTCCTGCATTTGTCTTACACGGACGGATGACCAGCCTTTTTGGAGGGACTTGAATGAATTAATGTCATTGTAAAGCTGCAATATTCGAGAAATCACGGATTTGGAATGACCAACTTTTCTTGCAATGGCTGAAAGTATCATACCTTTGGTCTTCATCTGGACCGCCTTCTGTCACAGGGTTTCAGTCACCTTAGAGCAGCCCGCCATCTTGCAATCTCAGTGAAAATTTGAGGAATGCTGCTAGTTAAATAGGGCTTGTCATATAATTAAGGAAATTATTAACACCAATAACTTGGAGGTATCTGTAAGTGTTCTTTAATTTTGATCAGAGTAATTTTTCAAATATCTATAACTTGGAGGTATCTGTAAGTGTTCTTTAATTTTGATCAGAGTAATTTTTCAAATATCTAATTTAAGTTTTTTTATACTGTGCTTCAGAATACAATTAATTTATGAAATATGCTTAAAAAACTGCCATTCTACTCCTATTAGCATAACTTCAAATAGGACTAAGCATTGGCAAGGCAAGGCAAGGCAAGGCAAGTTTATTTGTATAGCACATTTCATACACAATGGTAATTCAAAGTGCTTTACATAAAAGAAAAAAAAAAAATAATCACAACAATAAAACAAGGAATTTAAAAACATTGAAAATGGTGTTTCAAAGAGTTCAATGAAGTCCTTCTTAAGGAGTTCTGACTGCTCTTTCCGAATATCATTCTTCCCCACATGGATGATGATTCGATTTGCAGTCTTGTGCTTCATTAGAATTTTCCGAAGTTCCTTGTTCAAATCAGAAACTGTTGCTTGAGGAAAGCAGAAAGTTGCTGAATTTCTGCTACTGATGTTTCTGATAATGGAGTCGCCCACTATCAGAGTCCTGGGCTCGGCTGCGCTCTGAGCTGAAAGCCGCTGTCTGCTCGACCTTGAGCGTCTGTTAGTAGCGATGTTAGCTGCTGGCTGATCCGATCCATGTTTAATCACATTTGGGGATTCCTCACCCGCATTCATTAATGCTTCAAATCTGTTTTCAAGATGTATAGGGGGTGGTAGAATACCAGTGTTCACAAGCCTTGTCATAGCCATATCTGGGGTAGAGGATGCTACGGCAGCAATACGAGAAACTCGTGACAATCTGATGTCTCGAGTGCCTTTGGGTCTCGCTCCCTGTTTGTGCCATCGATTAGTGTGACAATCAGTTTCGGCTTGTTCCTCTACACTTGGTATAAACTGTTTAGATTGACTAGGTTCATGGGACTCACCGGCTGTATGCTGAGGGGGTCCGTGACAATGGTCTGCTGAGTGTTCTGCCTGTTTTGGAAGTCCTGCAAGTAACTTTGTTTCAAGAACCGCGATCCTTTGTAGAAGTTTGCAGTAGTTCATGCAGCAAGTAGATTCAACAGAAGGCATTTTCTTTGTCTTCTGTTTGAATGTGGGCAGCTGTGTTTTCCCTTCTCCGGAATGTAAGCTGCTGGCAGTGGGAGGTAAAAGTCTTCTTTTTCGTGGTATTATTCCAGTCCCAGAGAGTTTTTTGTTTTAGTGTTTGTGCCAAAAATATGTTGTTTGAGCACTGTGCTGATCTGCTGAAGTAAAAATCTTAGAAAAATCAAAGAAAAGTACAGAAATAGGGAGCAAAGCGCAGAGCAGTAAGCAAGAACGTCCGAACGGTAGCGGCCTTGATAATTAAGAAAATGTAGGTCGTTCCCTAATTTTTATGTCCACTGTATGTGTTTTAAAACTGAGTATTTAAACTGTGATATGGTGGTGGGCTTTAAATACTCAGTAATGACATAACCAAAGGAATATGGTGGATTGCAAAATTTTCTAATGTTTGGAATATATAAATATTAATTCACATTAAGAATACCAGAAAAGATATACTAGAACAATTTATGAAGAAGCATTTTGTTTTATATTTCACCCTTTTAAAGAATAATTAATTTATTATTTAAAAGGGTGAAATATAAAACAAAATGCTGGATTCAATTACTACGGTTCTTCAGTATCTTAAGGATCTAATGTATAAAGTCAACTTTTATATAACTATGATTATTTTTTGTTAAAAATAGACATTAATGAATTAACTTTTTTCCCTACCACTCCACCAGATTCCAGTCCACACACACAGGGGATACATTTATAACGCCTTTTAAAAAATGACCAGATGAAAGCATTTTATTAGACAGGTTGTTGTGAAAACATTGGATTTGGACAGGCCTTGATGCCTGCCTATCTGTGATCGAGAAAGTGACAACCACTGATCCCTAGAAAATCAGTGTAATCTCTCAAGTAAACTTGTTTGTTTTGTGGTAAATGTTATTTTGACAGCTATAGCTAAGGGCTCTTACTTGCTTTATTCCAGGGACATACAGTATCTGTCTGACTTGGGACTGCGGCTTCTTAGGTGAGACCCTTTGAACCAAGCCAAGTTAAAAGGAACAAAAGCAAACAAATCACATTGTTCTTTCAGGAACTTTTCTTGTTCACTGCCTTTCATTTCTCTCTTTTTTAGGCACTTCTCTCATTCAGAACAGTGAAGTCAATGGATCCTTACATCCCAGCTTGACAAGTTAGGAGGATACAAACTAATCCCCTTAATCTGTCTATTCTCCCGTGCAGTGCCAAAAGGGGAGAGGTACCCAGCACAAGTAATCCTATAGAAAAAACAATAGGATTAGACCCCAGCTCTTGGAGTGACAATCAGATATACTGACTGATTTGCAAAGTAGGGTCGAGTTTCTTCAAATTAGCTTTTTTTCTCTCCTCTTGGGAAAAGGTGCCTTTCATTAACTGCTGGTGGGATTCCTTTAGGACAGATGCTGGAGGTCCGCATGAAAGGCATGTATTCTTGGCTTCCAGCACACAGGTCCTGGGCTTCTCCCACAGCAGAGGCTGAGAGGTGGGGAGGCAGCAACCACTCCACCCCTTTACCCTCTGTCAACCCCTTTATAATTCGAACTCTAATGCTTTTAAAAAGTGTTTGACAGATCAGATGGATCAGATTCCTCTGCTTACTGAGGATACATGTAGCAGATCAACAAGGCTAAATGACGGGGATAATGTGAGATATGATGCCTGTTCTTTTCATTTGTATGCAGCCATGCAAAGTTTTTTTTTTTTTACTGTAACATTTAATGACATGAATGTCTTTTGGACAATTGCTGGTTTTTGATATATTTTTTACGGTTGACACATATAAACCTTGAAAATCAGCGTTTTACAGACAGATATATACTACCATCTCCACAGAAACGCATATTTACATATATAATTTAATAAAAAAAAGGTATCAAGGAAATTGTATGAAATACAAGCAAAGCAATATATACATTTTTGATAATTTTCATTGTTTGTTATTTTCAATACATACATACATTATGCATACATACATAATTACTTTTTTTGCTAATACTATTTATACATTTACTATTTATACTTGTATATAATGTCTTTATTATTTTATTTATATTTACTTTCTATATATTTATATATTAAAATATATTTATTAAATAATTTATTACTAAAATATTATTTTATTTAATTGTTCTGATGCACATCCTGTTCAGCGGTGAAATAATATTGCCTGTGCCTTAAGTGTGTCAGAATAAAATGAAATAGCGTTGTCTTCCTTGTGACCTTTAGATGGCGCTATTGGTGTAAATTACCACAGAAACCTCTGCGATG